ATATTATAATATACTAGCAAACCAGTGAACCAAATGTTCACCAAAACCTGATTTCTCGAAAACCGGAAGTGCTACGTTACTCAAATCCGGTTTGTAGTCTTATCAGACTATTCTTAACTTATAACTTAAATATTCTCTTTATCTATCTCTTACGGTTTGGCCGCTGAAACAGCACCACAGACAGACGGACTTGTCTAATAGATAAGAGATAATATTACCGTGACTCTGGCGTGATTCTCTATACTTAAAACTAAAAACATCAGTTTTTCCTTTTCATTCTGTATAGAGAATGACAAAGATACACTGTTGTCAAATTTAAGTTTGGGGTTAGAGAATTATGCCAGAACTGACACTTTGTCCTCATTTACCAGTATGTCCAGCTGTTCTAGAATCCAAAATTTCTACCGTTCCTAATATTAGGAGAACATTCCGTCGAAACAGAGGTAATTTTTTCTAGATTTTAAGAAAATTTAGTTAATTTTACTCCACTAAGAAAATAAATATCCCTAAGTAAAATACTTCGAGTCCAAAACAAAACTCTCTATCCCTAAGTAAAATCGAAGCTCCAGGGCCTGCATCTTTTCCAAGTTAGATCGATGTTTTAACCACATGAGTAAAGAAACATACAGTACGGACTGTACGTCTCTTTACTTATGTGGTTTTAATTTTACTTTGCGCAGTGAACCACTTCCTGCATACGTCACGTAACGTAGAACAAAGTTATAGGGTAACTTCATTGGATTTATTCAAATACTGATCGTTCCAGGTAAGCACTTTTGAGGGTTTCGAAGGATTTCGTACCCAAAAAGAACCGTAATAGGATCACTTGTCCGTTGTCCACCCAAAGGTACTAAGGTGTCCTTTTTTTAAGCTAGAAATTATTATACTTCCCCAGATAGGCGCTCCGTCTTTTATTTATTAACTTTATTATTATCAAATTTAAATTTTTACATAAATATATAAGTGTGAATCTAGGACTAAAATTCTGATCCTGGGACCTGGGCTCTGCCCTGGGATCTATCCCGTTCCTTTGGATCGTTCTAACGAATGAGCGATCGCTCTTGGCGCAATCAGACAGTTGTGTCGATTCTGACACATTCTCTAAACCGAAATCTGTACCCTTGTCATTCTCTATACAGAATGAAAAGGAGAGACTGGTATTAAATTTAGTTTTAAGTTTAGAGAATCATGCCAGATTCGACACCAATGAGCGCCAAACTTTAAGTATAGATACTCAAAGGCGCCAATGAACGAAAGTGGTAAACAATTTCTAGTTAAAAGTAAAATTTAGGTACCTAAATGAAGTGAAAGTGCCGACCAATTGCTCTTAAAATTCTTAGTCCAGTTTAACTGATATAAAATAAACGTTATCAGATAATGATGTCGCCATTGTTAGCTAATAATTGCTATGTAATAAACGGGTGGGTACCAACACCAACCAAGACACACTGGCCGCTGGTATCCATGACAACAGACGTGGACTCGCGAGTTCTCGACTTTACTTTTGATTTATTTCCTTCCATCATAGCGTGTCGCGACTATTGTATAAATAGTGTAATCACAAAACTTAGGTGAAGCTGTATGTGGCTGTATAGACTTAGTTCCTTAGCCTTTCCAAAAAGAGAACACAAAAAACATTTTTTCATCCATCTGGGCTACGTTCCCAACCTACGCTCCAGGTGTAATAGGTCAAAATTGAAATGTTAGGGTAAAAAGTTGCACTTGAGCACAGAGCGAGCTTGGAACGTAGCTCAGTGCACTGACAAGCAGTGCTGCAAGATAGACCGACTTTCCGCGTTATCACCCGCATTTTTGGAAATGGCGGAACCATTTTTTATAATGTTTTTTACCTTCGTGGTTCCGCTTTTTCAGTATAGATTAACTACCTATTTTTTTTCATTCTTTATGCTGATTATGTTGTCACTTTACAAAGGTTTTTCAATAGGTCGAATTTGATGGATATAAAATCTTAATTAAAAAGTGACATTAAAATGACCTGTACTCGGATTTTTAATTTGACGGAATTCTGACGGCTCCGTCATGCGGGACAACGCTAAACACGTAAAAGAGATGGAGATCTCACATAAAAGAGATGGAGGGAGATCTCTTTAACGTGTAAAACGCTATTTTGCATGTTGGAGCTGTCAGAATTCCATCAAATTAAATATTTGAAATGACGAGTATAAAATTAAATATGACATAATATAAGACACATAACAAGTCATTTTTACTATAATCGTAAAGTCTGAAATCCGAAAAAAAAAATGTTCTTAATGGCAACTGAAGACACGTTAGGATACAATGTGTGTAAAAAATTATAACCAATTCATTCTTCAAAAAATAATAAAAGCCATTTCCAAATTAATGAAACATGTTGTGATCTATTTTTTATTTCAAATAATCGTTTCCTTAATTTAATAGGCTAGTTGACCCTTTTTGGAAAAAGGTTTTAAATGGTGAATAAATGTTCTATTAGACCGAAAAAAAATGTATTGTATTTTTTTGAGACCTAGAAAACTACAAATCTTTAATTTTAAAATAGAATTTTCATGGACATACAAAAACGCTGTCGGCCATTTTAGTCTATAGATTGTCTATGCTTTGATGTCAATTATAGTAAACAAAAACTCGTAAGCACGTAGAAAATAACTTATCTGAGTTTATAATAAGAAGAACACGATTTCTAATAAATACCACGAAAAATAAAGTAATTATCATTATTGTATTGTACGAGAATATAAAAACACATCCTTGAAGACTCCAGGAATGTTATGGATTAAAGTGCCGAAAGAAATTAACCTACGCAACTTTATTACACTTATTCATATGTTGTATCAGTTTTATGTTTATTACTACATTGTAATACTAAATGCACTGTACTTACATAGATGCCTTGTCGTTTCTCTGCTCCGCAGAGCAGAAATCGGAGTTTAGTGCAAAAAATTCACCAACCATCAATGCGTCAATTCTTGGCAGATTTGCGCTTTCTGCTTTCACAAAGCAGGCATCCATAATTAGTTTTGTCAAAAAAAAAAGTAAACGGAAACTTTTCTAAAGTTAAAAGTGTTTTAAGATAAATTTATTCAGACTAAAGAATCCACCCACAATAACACGCGAATGACATTTAGTTGTTTACTGAAAGAGACGTCACAATCATGGCGGATGTGGCGAACAGCGTTTTTAGTGTTTAAAAAATATAGACTAAAAATTATTTTTTAAAATTAAATTTCTACAGCAATCTTCTGCTTTTATGAAGTGAAATTTGATATATTTAGGTTCCTTAGACCAAATACTGTAAGAAATAAACATTTATTTAATACAATTCGATATGAGTCAACTAGCCTATTGCCAGTATTGAAGGTCCTGAGATAGTTTCGTACGTATTTGAGTTAAAAAATACAATGTCTTCAAGCAAAACTAGTAAATTACGCCACTAAATGAAATGTCTTAGCCCGTAGTTTACTTACGAAGAGTGCGTGAGTAACGAAACGCAACTATCGCGACGTAAAAAGTTTCAGAAACATTGGTTTGTTTGTTTAAATTTGGTGTCAGGCGCTGTTGAGTAAAGACACAATTCGAAAGCGTTTTTTAAAACGACCCTTTTTTTTTTTTATTTGGCCATAAACTAGATTGTCGTAACGGCAACACTGACTGTCAGTCTCAAGTCCCGTTTTTTTATGGCGGGATTTCATCGAGTGTGGTTGGCGTCTTATTTTAATTATTCTTAAATTCGTTCATAGTGGATATTGTGAAAGAAAATTGGTGTGGTTTTGTGTAACAACCGTCTGCGTAACTGAAGAATTAGTGGAATCGTTAAAATATACGCTATTCCGGTCAAGTGGACGTGAGCATTTTATTGTAGTGTTGACTACCTCACAGAAGCTTATCGAAAAAGCCAACTCGATACATTTCGTGCCAAACACTCCAAGAAACATTAGAATGCGTCACACCGACATTCTAATGTAAAAACAAAAAGAAGATTAATTTTATTAAAGACTAGGCTGTATGGGCATTGTTCCCTTTGACTTCCCGGGAGAACTTCAAAAAAAAAAGTCTCAAGTCCCACCCAACTGTCAGTCACTGACTGACAGTTAGGTTTAGAGTTATTTTCAAAGAGTAGTATTTATATGTTACTTTGGTTTGACAGTCGACTGATTGATACAAAGGTTATTTTTGAGAATTGTGTCTTGTTTTGCGTTATTCTAAAAATGTTACCGAAAAGTCGAAAATACTTAGATACCAAGTATTTCAATAAAAAGTGCAGAGATTGATTTACTCGTTATATGCTAGCAAAGAAAATTAAGTAATAACCTCTAAACCTTCACTAGTTTATAGGTTTTGAAGCATTATGATAAATAATATATTAATGTAAAGATTTTAAACATAGAGATGAACTCTCTCCTGAAATATACTCCAGGATGTATAATAAAATGGAATCATCTGAGACGAATAATATCACCACTGCGGAAATTACGATTTATGGTATGAATATTATTAAGCTTATGTTGATATGGCAAACATTCTTCGTTTATAATTAGTAACTAAAATATCATTAGATTATTATACACCAAACCGTTGGTTCTCTTTAAGAAGTTAAAAAATTACATAAAGTTATGTAAGGGTCTAACTTATGCTTGTGGATTAAAAAAGAACATATGATTAAGAAAAAACGCGTACATTATCAAAAGTTTTTGGTCACACGGTATCAGAGCTAGTGTTTACCAGTTGTAATATTAGGGATAAAGAAGTTTTCACAAATTAATGTTAATGTGCATGTTTTGAATCAACTAAATATTAACTTTATTTCTAATGCAATATAAAAGTAGGTACATTAAATTATTTTCTTTAAAATCTTATTGGATTATTTCAGTAAAACTGTTCCTCATGTTTTATATATTTTTTAACAAATTAATAGAAACATGATGATTTGTTTTGTTTTTACAGATTAATTTACTTGTATTTTTTTCCTTTATTTATGTTTTTATTTTTTTGGTTTTTAGGTCTTTGGTTTGGGTAACAAGACATATGAACATTATAACGCTGTGGCAATATATTTAGACAAACGCCTAGAGGAACTTGGAGCAACTAGGGTACACGAATTGGGACTTGGAGATGATGATGCAAAGTATGATCATTTATAACAATATATAAATATAAAATTTGTAACAGTTCCAGATTTTTATATTTTGATACAATAAGGGACTGTATTAGTAACCCCTTGTTTACACCAAGGTCAATTTGTTAAAAACATGTATTATACATGTATGTACAGTAATACATTTATGTATAAAATATGTAGTATACAATACTTACATTAAATTTGTTGAAAAACAAAATATGTGATTACTCCTTGTATAACTGATTTATACTTATAATTTTTTATTATTTTTTAAAGCATGTAACTGCTTGATGTTTAAATCTAAAGAATTATACTTGTAAGATACTAGTTGTCTAAGCAGTGTAAACGAAATAATGTTTAAAACAGCCACAACAAGTACTCTACAACTTATGTTCAAAATTTGTTTCTTAGTGGAAACAAGGGGTAAAAATGTTGAAGTTTTTAAAACATCTGCTAAACAATGCCTTTCTATTCATTTTATATACAGTAGAATCCGTTTATTATGACTCCGCCTATATTGACCAACCGCCTATTATGACGTAATTACACAACAAAGTTTGGTTTTCATATAAAATTCATTGTAACAATGTCAGATATAATGACTTCGCTTACAGTGACTTGTCGCTTATTATGACCCATTTTTAATCAATTTTGTCCGTTTATAGTGACCGACATGGTTCTTTACACCTACAGTAATGTTTGTTGATTCCCGACAACGTTCGGCACGTGGCTCGTTTTTGTTTTGAATCTCAGTGAGTAATTTACATTTGAACATCACGCATTGTTTTTAGTGATATCCTATGTAAAAAATGACATCTCAACGTCGTAAAGCATTTACGACTGAGGAAAAAGGTGCAATAATATCATCATCATCATCATCAACAGCCTATCTTAGTCCACTGTTGGACATAGGCCTCTCCAAATGCACGCCACTCAGATCGATCTTGGGCTACTCTACTACTACATTGGCAATAATATGCTGATTAGAAAATGGAGAATCAAACTCATCTCACAATCTTTTATCAGAAAAATGCTTTGTATGACGTCCGCTTAGTATGACGTGTTTGTCGATTCCCTTCGAAGTCTTAATAAACGGATTGTACTGTAATTTACATGATATTACTTTGGTAACTTTTTAAGTAAAACAAGTTTTAATGGGATAGATGCACTGTTTTATTTATTTATTGACGTTTCCCATCCTTTGAAGGGAATGTCTCATCGGAATAATGGTTTATGCATTCATATACAGTTATTTTCTAATAATTTACAGGGAAGTTCAGAGGAAAATACGAATAATTAAATTATTGTTGCTAAAGTCCTTTGATTTCTGAGATTGTGCAAGTTTTAAGCAAGCGTTTTTTTTAAAGTATCACTAATTTTTCTGCTTTTAGAAAAGTCAATTCAATGTTTACAGTGGTGTAGTTTATTCATAATTAATGGTTATTGGCAGCAAGTCTGAAAAAATATAAAAAATCAAAGAACTGTCACAACTCGGTAACCATCCAGTTTTGACCACTCGGTAACCATCTAGTTCACTGAACTCATTTTGTTGCTAATGACCTCTAGTATAACCCCTTTCAAGGAATAGGTTGAGTTTTCCTGTCACCTGTATAAGCTATGTATTTGTAATTTTTCTGTCTATTATTTTAGTATTGAAGATGACTTCATTACATGGAAAGACAGATTCTGGCCAGCTGTATGTGAAAAGTTTAATATTGAAAGCACTGGTGAAGAAGAGCTGACTCGCCAATTCCGACTTGTTAGTCACCAACCTGAAGAAATTCCTTCAGAAAATGTTTTCACAGGTGAAATTGCAAGGCTTCACACCTATCAAGTTCAAAGACCGTGAGTAATATTTATACTCATATTTCATTTATCAATTTGCTCTGCACTTTTGGGTATATGTAAATAACAGAAAATAAAAATATGTATAATATAAACTTTATGCTCTTTTTCAGGCCTTACGATGCTAAAAACCCATTCCTTGCACAGATTACCGTCAATAGGGAACTACATAAAGGAGGTGACAGATCTTGCTTACATGTTGAGCTAGATATTTCGGAATCGAAGATGCGATATGAAGCAGGTAAGTCCGAAACAAATTTTCCTTAAATGTTAAATATTTTAAAATGTCCCTTTATTAACATTTTTCCTTTTGATTATGGCCTTGTAGGTGACCATGTGGCGATATATCCTATTAATGATACAAACCTTGTGGATCGACTTGGTGCATTAACCAAAGCAGATATGGATGAAATTTTCTCTTTAATCAACACTGATTTGGAGAGCAGCAAGAAGCATCCCTTCCCTTGTCCCACCTCTTACAGGACTGCACTTTCACATTATTTAGAAATTACAGCTGTGCCTCGTACTCATATTCTGCGAGAATTGGCAGAATATTGTTCAGATGAAGAGGTCAGTAAAATTTTATTATTTCATTAATATTATTAAAGAAGCATACTTCTGCTATGCGCATATACATGACTGGATTCAAGTAAATTCTAAATAAAATTGTTTTTTTCTAGGATAAGAAAAAGCTTCTTTTGATGGCTACGAACTCTCAAGAAGGCAAAGAATTATATCATTCATTTGTTGTTGACGCCTGCAGAAATATTGTCCACATACTTGAAGATATTAAATCATGTAAACCTCCACTTGATCATCTGTGTGAATTACTGCCACGGTTACAACCAAGATACTATTCTATCTCATCAAGCCCTAAGGTAAGTCTTTACTTAGCGAATGAATAACTTTTCTAAATTTGTTATTGTGGGTTAAATATTCGTTTAAATAATTATGTTTACAGTGGATTTCGGGTAAATCAATGAAGGGACCACTCTATTTTCGTCGTTATATCTGGAAGTCTTTACAGGCATAGGTAAAGAGATACTGAGACGTATACATGTATAGTTTATATTCATTTATAAACGATTTCCGCCTTTTCTTTAACAGTGAATGTGCGTCTAGCAGCCATACTTATTCAAAAGTTTACTAAACCCAGTTGCTACTCAGAATATCACTTTGTAACTGAACCATAAATATAACTCCGAAACGTACATGCTTCCCCACCTATTTAGCTGATATCTATAAACAAAAGGTAAAGGTCTCCACACTTACTGGCCATATGTGTGGATGTAAACAAAAGAGAAGAAATGTTTGTGAATCAAAGAAATCTTTATGTCTTTGGCGGCCGACTCCGGTCGCAATGTCTGCATGGGATTTCTAGGAGTTTGTGACAAATCATTCATTAAAAACAGTTGCTACACCCGAACTCAACGGTACATCCAAAGTCGCTTTAGCCACATGAATTTCGTACTAAAGTATGCATTAAATTCAAGGGCCTTAGATTTAACGTTGCTATAGGTAAATAGTCGCTATAACCAAGGTTGTAATAAATGAAATCCACTGTATTTCAGTTGTATCCAGAAACTGTCCACATAACGGCAGTAGTGGTGGAGTATAAAACATCGACGGGTCGCGTGAACAAAGGCGTGGCGACCACGTGGCTGGCGCAGCACAAGCCAGAGGCGGGCAAGCCCCTGCCAAGAGTACCGGTCTATATTCGGAAATCTCAATTCAGGTACCTATAGCTATAGCATAGATAGACGGATTTTGTGCACACCACATTAAATATTACACACTCGAAAAAAACTTATAATAGTGAACAATTGGCGGTCTTTTAGCTATAATAGCAATTTCTGCCAGAAATTTAGTAAAAGAGGGGGTGGGCAAATTAAAAAAATAGAATAAAAGTCCACGCTTAAACATACTCACAAATATCTACTATACATTCATCATACGGCTTAACGTGCCTTCCGAACCACGGAGGAGCTCGGGATAACAAGTATTCGGGTCACCCATCCAATGACCAACCACTGCGAAAGTTGCTTTACTTCCACCTGCGCCATCTAACGGTAGAGTTACGAAATAAAAAAAAGTTTGATGTAGATGACTGCTAGATATTTGCGACCAAATGCTTTGAAATAATGAACATCGATTTGATACCGGTCAAATAAATTACAGTACTATTTTTAAGAATTTACTTCACATTATTTCACGGTGCACTTTGAAATAATTGACTTGACCTACTAAGTAGTGCTTAAGCGACGTCTAAGCACTACTATGATGATTATTACGTGTTTCTATCCGTTACCCTAGTATACCATATCACGAGCCTTACAATGGTTACTTTGGGGCAAGGCTTTTTGGTGTGGGAGAAAAACATATTTATTTCATTACTAGCGGCCGCCCGCGACTTCGTCCGCGTTAACATTAGTTTTTTTGAAAATTCCACAGTAACCTTATAATTTCCAGGATAAAAAGTATTCTATGTCTCAATGCAGGCCATACCAAGTGTCATTACTTCAGTAGTTTTTGCGTGACTGAGTGCCAGCGTTGCCAGGTTTTTTTTGCCAAGTCGGGATTTAGGAACTTTTAGAGTGAAAAAAGCGGGATTCTTTCGTCGCAAGCGGGACATAGTAAAAAAAACGTATATAATCAAAAGTTTTTGAATCTTTATGTTTTTATTTGAGTTCAAATTACGTTTAATAGGTATTACCTAGTAAAAATATCCATAGAATAAAATAAAATAGTAAATAGTATTTTAATAAAAATATGATTTTTTAAATCAGATGTACCCTATCGTTAAATAGTTGCCTTTTTTGAGATTTCTTCATTAAACGCCGGTTAGGTGGCCAGTTCAAACTTGTCTGTGGCACCCACCCGCGCTTTCTCAGTACGCTGCACGAACGGTCGAGTTATTCCCGAAAAGCGGGATTAGCCTGTTGATTTAAAAATCGGGACGTCTGGCAACGCTGCTGAGTACATACAAACTTTGACATTTATAATAAAATAGGATTACTATTTTTAGTAGGTAAGCATTCCAGCAGCGGCTAAATTCGAGTTTCTTCTTTGCAGGTTACCACTTCAAACGCAGACCCCCATTATAATGGTTGGGCCTGGGACTGGGTTCGCGCCGTTCCGCGGCTTCTTGCAGGAGCGCGCGCTCGCGCGGGCCAACGGCAAGGAGGTCGGCGAGAACATACTTTACTACGGGTGCAGACACCGCGACCAAGATTACATTTACCAAGAGGTTAGTTATTGAGGGCTTATGTTTAACTAGCTGTGCCCCGCGGTGTTGCCCGCGGTTTTATTAGGGATATTTTCCCACAGTAAAACGTAGCCTATGTGTTAATGCATACCAAACTCTAACTCCATAGCAAATTTTATTAAAATCGCTCCAGCCGTTTAGACGTGAAGAAGTAACAAACATAAATACTCACAACTTTCGCCTTTATAATATTAAGTGTGATGATCCTCAAAAAAAAATGTATAATGATCCTGAAAAATACAAGTGCCAACCTAAACTAACCCTTAAGGTGCATTTACACTTGATCAAATACGGGCTATTTGGGCGCACTCGACTCCGTTCATTTACACTTAGTCGTTTGTCCGAGTTCAAAGAATGTAATTGTGCCATTAGGTTTGCAATTTCATTTTTTATGTTGATTGATTGGTTACTATTTTTTGAGGATCATTTAATTATTTTTCGTAATTATGCATTTTTTCAAGTAACTCAGTATGCGATGAAATGTATTCTTAGAAAATAAAGATATATTATGAGTTCTGAAAAATTTAGCCGCATGGGGGTAAGTGCGTTCGCTGCCTTTGTGGCGTGCGCTGCGTTAAGCGTTGCTGTTTCATGTAGGGTTACCATTTAGGCATTTCAAAAGTCCTGACAAAAATCCTGACTTTTCGAAAAAAGTTCGGACTTTAGGTCATAAAAAGGTACCATTACTCACTTAGTTACAATATTATTTTTTGTATTTAAAAAATCCAGACAATTTGAAGATCCAGACTATTATCCTAAAAGTCCGGACGTATCCGGACGGATGTTAACCCTACTTTCATGGGATTTCATCGATCAGTGCTGTGTGAGGTTTCTGTCTTTTGTGCTCTTGTCTGCGCCGTTTTTAGGCTAGGTAGTATTATTAACAAAAATAAAATCCATTATCGACTGTTCTCCCGCGTGATCGCAATTGCACTGGCGGCCGCCAAGGACGTTCGCTCCTTCTTTTAGAAAAAAAGAGAGAAATAGCTCTAAAACACCGAGATTGCACTTTGTAATAATGTTAAATTATCTTAAAATCTCAATGGCAGGATAGTTATTGAAACATCGATATTAGCGATACCGGAAGACCCCTCTTTCCCAGTGGGCACTTTGGGCAAGTGCCCAGGGCCCCGCGATCGATAGAGGCCCCCCTCAAATCAAATACAAAGTCCCTAGTTCATGTTAAATCACCAAAAGGGGGTCATAGGGGCCCCATTATCCTAATATGCCCAGGGCCTCCAATAGGTCAAAGACGGCACTGGATACCAGGAAGACACAAGACACACCTATCACGATCAAATCGATCGCACTCTGAAGGTAAAAGAATATGAAGTCAGAAGCCGCCAAAACCGGCAATTGTGTATGATATTCATCGTGAGTGAAGCGAAATAAGTGTGTACGATTTGTTATCTCTGCCTACTCCACCCGGAATACCGTGTGAAGATAATATTTTTGTAATCTTTCACAATCTATCGACAGTCTAAAATCGCATTATACAGCTCTACGGTATTTTGTCTCCTGTTGAACATGTACTATTTTTCTTAATAGGAATTGGAGAAGTATGAAAAAGATGGTGACGTGCAACTGAACGTGGCTTTCTCGAGAGATCAGGAGCACAAAGTTTATGTGACCCATCTGTTGCAGAACAATATTGACAAAATATGGGATGTTATTGGAAACCGCAATGGACATTTCTATGTCTGCGGGTAAGTAAAATATAAGACTGAAATTCATGGTTGTAATAAAACTATGATGTTCAATAGTTTTTACTATTGTGTAATTCTTAATAATTTTATTCTATGACCTAACCTGTGACTTGATCCACAGCTACATAGTATTCATATTCTTTATTTTGACCACAAATCATCAATAACCGAATAGATAATACTTTATAGATAATGTAATCTAATTTTAATTAGGAGATATTATAGGCTGTTGTCTGGGCAACAGTATGATAAGATGAAGCAATAACTGCTTGCATATCTTGTTTTAACCTATAGGGCATTAAAAAATAATCCAAATTATTTAGGCTGCATTTTATGCTTGAATTGTGTGCATTATACATAAGACTACAGCAAAATTTAGCTTTAATTAGTACTACTTGTTTACTAGTACTCTATAGCAGATCGCCGTTTGGTCCGGTCCACACAGTATTTTTATTTTTGAACTTTGATCTTAGTTGTGGTTTTTATTTCACCATATAGTTATAGTACAATACATATTTTAATAATTGTGTGTTTCAAACAGATGGCAGTATGTGAAGTGTATTTTTCTTTATTTGAATCCATTTCTAAAGCAAAATCTAGCTTTCTGCACTTCTTCTCCATATGAATTTTCATTATGTAAAAAAGGGGTACTCAAATTTTCTATCACATGAACATATTGATGTAGTTATAATTTTTATTATTTTTTTAAAACATGTAACTGCTTGATGTTTAAATCTAAAGAAAATATAACTAGAAAAAATTCCACGCGGACCTTGATGTAGTGTTAATTTGTTGGTAGACTTTGGATATACCTGCAGTAAAGCCAGCCAGAACTCTTACCCCCTTATTAATAAACAAGGAATAAGCTTAGACTAGTTACGCCGTGTTTTGTTCATGTAACTCATATGCTATTTGTCATTCAATAGACAGAGACAAAACATGGACTAGCTAATCCAAGCGTAGTCATCGTTTATTAATAAGGGGGTCAAAGCGTAATGGATTTTCGTTTGTGTGTCTCTTGTATTATAATAAGCGCCTACTTTGAGTAAATAATTAAGCAATAAATGTTGTTCTAAATATAATTCTCTTTCCCGCAGGGATGCTAAAAATATGGCTGTTGACGTAAGGAACATTGTTCTTAAAGCAGTCCAAGAAAAGGGTGGCCGAACCGAGGCAGAGGCGGCGCAATTCCTCAAGAAATTGGATTCAATGAAGAAATATTCATCAGACGTGTGGAGTTAGGCTTTTGAAACTTCTTCATTGAAGTTCAATTTTAAGCGGCTAGGCAATTTTTATTCAGTGTATTAGATCCTTTATTGTAAAAGTGTATTTCTTCGATTAACGTAATCGCGCAAACAATACAAACGACTATTTGATGTATATTGTCGAGTTCACAAAAAGTCTTAGCGTGATTGTGCTCAATTTTAAAACTGGGACGATTAAATGGTTGTATCGACCGAATTAGAAGAAATCTTTATCAATTAGCAATTATAACCAATGAAATCTGGCAAAAGAGATCCATTTGCTATTGAGTCTTGTGAACGCCTCTAAAAACGTATGAATGTGAACACTTTAATATTTCTAATGTTAAATGACAGCTACAAATTATAGCTGACGAATTTTACTGAAGTTGGCCGTTAGGTTGCGCAGTTATTCCTAACTACCTAAGTTAGCTAACTCAGTGGAACTACATAATAAACAATGGTTGTACTTTCGAACATAGTTCAATTTGAGAATAAAATAAGAATTGTTTTTATGTGTAGGGATCTATATTATCTCATATTTTACTATGAAAATCTATGTGATAAAAAATATATGTGAATATGGGCACTTATTCCAATTACAATGACAGGTGTGCATGTATCCAAAGACAATATACTTATATTGGAATTACTTGTGAACTACCTACGATAGTTCAATTCTGTACTGAATTTTACCATACTTTATTTCTAAAATTTCTAGTGTCGTTGTTGTGACTACAATGTAGTATTTTTTAATGTAAATGTTAGAAAAAATTATTTCGGCAAATTTATTTATTTAATGTAAGTACCTAAGGATTTTATTTATGTTATTGAACTATCGTTGCAACAGCTATTTGTTGTTTACAGTTGAAATTCCTGAAATCTCTCAATATTGTATTTCTGTATAATGAGATGTAGAGTTATACCAGATTAGAAGTTGTTATTCCTTTGTATGAAGAAACAATATGATTAGTTTCATATTTTTTGTATTATTGACTTTTATAAATTGACGTGTATGGTGTTTAGAAGTTATAGCTCTTGTTGAATGTAAATCAGTTTTACGATTTGTTGGTAGGTATATGTTAATAACGTAATATGCGGACTGGGAAATAGATATAAGAGAACAAAGAAGTGTAATTTTATATATATATGCATTTCAATATAAAATTTTGTATAGAATATTCAGTTCTTTTATTTTTTCAGTCCCTACAAAACCATCACTCCCGTGTACTATGTGTACATATTCTATAGCTCAAAAGAAAAAGACTGTCCCCTACATTACTGTGTTGTCCGTCAGTCTAGATCCTTTTTCTGAGGAACGCGCGAAGGTATCAAGCTGAAATCAATATCAAATAGCGAAGTTCAAATAGTTCCCGTTGACTTACAATTTGGTAAGAAGCAATGCCATTTAGCCACCAGTAAAGGAATAATTAAAAACCAGGAAAAATCATGGAATATTTAGAAAAGAAAGAGGGACACATGGGCGTACCCAGGTAGGGGCAGGGGGGGCAGCTGCCCCCCCTTAGGAGATAAAATAAACGTCAATTTTCCTGGCAAGTGGGAATTAAAAACGTGTTACCTACTCTGCGCAAAATGAAGTGTTGGAAACAAAACATCTTTTCAGTCAGATATTTTGATTTAATATTTTTTATCTACAATTAAATATTCTACAACATTCGATATATTAGCGACGCAATATAATTTATATCTCCCGCGAAACCGTCGTATCTCGTAGTTTCCGCTCCCGACGAGATAATCAGAGCCACCTAGGATTAAAGCCGAATATAATTTGGAGAAAACAACATCTAGCGCTATCTAGTTACGGACGACGACACTCAACAGTACTTTTTCCAGTAAAGACGAACGTTCTAGCATGGGCTATTCTGGAAAGGAAAGACAGTAATAGCAAGTATGAGACAAGGATGGCAACAGAGTCGAGTATTTTCTACGTATTTCGGGAGCGAGAATATTTGAATATATAAGCGCGATCTTTTTTTAGGGACAACAAGCGCAAAAAGAAAAAAAGGTCGGGATAGTAGCAGTGGAGGAAGCGATGAAAATGACAACCATGATAAAACCCATGTAATGCCAAGATCATTTCATGCTAACATTGGACAAGCGTCACATTCTTCAGCAGAATCTGTAAATATACCTGTTGCCGATTATTCTTCTCCATCGACATCCCAGCAAACTTATGACGTCAACGTCGATCCTGAAATTATATTGGACGACGGCTATCATGAAAATGATCTGGGTCGTTATGTTGGGTTGGATACTCAGCTATCGACGGAAAAGAAAAGGGAGTTTTTACAACATCCTTGGATCCCGCCCAGAAATTATGATTTTGAAAGTGATGCAAGCCATTTCAAAAGGAAATTTAATTATGCTTGGTTGGATCAATATGCACCATCTCTAAAATGTGGCAACCAGGATAAGATGCGTGATAACCCCGGATTTTGAAGCCCAGAACCCGGACAGACCAATAAAAAAACAGTTAAAAATGTCACAAATCAACTTTCTTATATCAACATTTCATCTAGGCAAAAGAGCTAGCGGTCTACCTCATAATAAGTGGTCACTGCTGCCCATGGACATTTGCAGCACCAAGGGCCACTCATGCGTTGCCGTAAATTTTTAAACCCGGACTACAAATAAAACCCCGCCCGGACGCTCCCCGGACGCCCCGTAAACTAGGACAAATCCGGGGAAACCCGGACGGATGGCAGCCCTAACCATGGCTAGTATATTCCAAGCGACTAAAAGGCGCTCTTTGTAAGCATTGTGTTTTGTTCCCTCCGCCCATTAGCACTGTGAGAGGAATTTTGGGATCATTTATGGTCAGGCCATATATAAAGTTCAAAAATATGCATGGAGACTGCCGAAAGCATGCAACGACCAACCTTCACCTAACAGAGACAAATGCTGCAAATTTTTTTCTTGAAAATGTTCCTGTAGACATCCAACTGCAAAGTGGACACCAAAAAGCAATCGATGTAAACAGACAAATATTGTCATCAATTATTACTTGTGTAGTATTTTGCGGTACACATGATATGCCTCTTAGGGGAAAACAAGCAGATGAGGGCGTTTTATTAGATTTATTAAATTTGAGAATCAATTCAGGGGACGACAAATTAAAGAGTCACCTGGAAAAGTGCCGTCGCAATGCAGTTTACACATCGCCAAAAATACAAAACGAATTGATTAATTTATGTGGCGAAGTTATTAAGGAGAATATAATAAGTGAGGTTCAGAAGACCATGGCTTACGCAGTCTTAGCTGATGAAACAGCAGACGTAGCTGGGAAAGAACAGCTATCAATAGGCGTGCAGTTCTAAGACGAAAGCAAAAGGAAAATCAGAGAAGAATTTGTAGGGTTCGTTGAACTAAAAGCACAAAATGCTTCAGCAATTTCCGAAGCAATTGACAATTTCTTGATTAGTTCTAACCTCCCAACAGAAGATTGCGTAGGGTTTGGATTCGATGGCTGTTCTACAATGTCAGGGAAAGCGGGTGGCGTACAAGCCATTTTGAGAAAAAAATATCCTCGTGCTTTATATTTTCATTGCTGAAGTAACAAACTCAACCTTGTTGTGAATGATGCGAACGCAGTGCCAGAAATTAGAAATACTGTCGCCACTGTTAAGGATGTTATAACGTTTTTCAGAGAATGGACTACTCGTCGAAACTACGCTCCAAACCTATCACGATTGTGTGAGATGAGATGGTCCGAAAAATATAAATCAATCAGAAAGTTTTCTCATCATTTTCCAGAGCTTGTGAAATCTCTAGAAACGCTATCCGTAGAGGGAAATTATGCCACCAGAAAATCTGCATATCAGTTGCATTCAGCCGTTACAAAACCAGTGTTTATTGTTGCTCTACAAACAATAGCCAAATATTCAGCAGTTTTAGAACCAGTAGTTAACGCACTGCAAGCTAAATCGATCGACATGATCTCGGTGGGGGATCACATCAAAAATATCAAGGACATTCTCAGAAATGACCGAGAGTATCCTGATAAAATAAGTAATGAAATGCTTCAAAAAGCGCGAGCTGTTGCAATGAATTTGAACATAGAAATTTCGGTTCCACGTCTTGCTCATAAACAAACACATAGAAGTAATCCGCCATCTGACAACGATAACGGATATTGGCGGCGTTCTCTGATAATACCATACATTGATTCACTCATTTCATCGTTGAATATTCGATTCTCCCAAGAAAATACTCCGGCGTTTGCTTTAAGTAAGCTACATCCCTTGTATATGACCAAAACCAGCATTACAGACTTACACAAGAACGTAGAATCATTCCAAGAATTGTATAACCTGGATATCACTGGAGAACTGAACCTTTGGCATAATTTATGGATGAAGAATGCTTTATCAGATGATCAATTAAGGGATGTAGAAATAGTTGATCTGTTCAACGAAGCCAATATTTTTTACCCTGCTGTCAGAAAGGCATTGATTATTTTAAGCACTATCCCATGCACCACGGCGACCGTAGAACGGTCCTTCAGTACGCTTCGAAGCTTAGAAGCACCATGGGTGAAGCAAGGCTTACGGGTTTATGTCTGATGAGCGTACATCGCAATTATTTAAAAGAAAACAGTGAGTTTATTCAAAAGACAAATTTTCGGCGACAAATCCGAGAAGATTACTTTTAAATTGATATATGTGTATTATGATTATTATATATATTTAATATTTTGTTTTGTGTCATAATCAAACTAATTAATAAAAGTCAATTTTTATGATTTTTTGTATCAATATACCCGACCGACCATCTTCTCGAAACAGGTATGAGCTGCCCCCTCCTAGCTGAAATCCTTGGTACGCCCTTGGAGGAACAATTGTCGATCTCGATTCCTATGATCAATTACATGACGATTTATACCGTCCCGTACCAACTTACGTTAGTTTAAAGGTCGTTGATCATCAGGAGTGAGAAGTGTCCCAGAGAGAATGGACCCCTGAGGAACACCGGCACAACCATCATAGAGTGCACTATGTATAACCAACCGTTTGCTCAGGAAATCTGCTTCGTTCGTGTACGAACATAAACATATCAAAATTTAGACCGGTCAGGGGGGTGCAAATTGTAAGTTGCCCGGAGTGCCAGACAAAAAAATACGGGCCGTATTTTATGTCTGGCCTCCGGGTTGCCGCAGGGCCTCCATACCTCTAAATCAGACCCTGCCTGCGTGCCAAGGCCTTTGTGAGGTCGAGCGGAACAGTAAATGCTTCACCGTGCTTTTGATGGCCTCCCCTCAGCAATGCGTTACATATACAAGAAGATCTCCCAGTCGCCCATCCTTGGCGGACACAATATTGATGTGATATTATATGGGTATGAGAGCAGCTTGCAGCACGAGGTTCGTGCTTAATTGCAGTAACTCGACGTCCGGAAAGCTAGTGGACCTGATGGCGTCCCAGCAGTCCTGCTGTACTTAAAGAATGTGCAGCAGAGTTGTCTCCCGTGCTCACGCGCTTGTACCAAAGCTCGTATTCTTTGGGGCGTGTGCCGGAGACTTGGAGATATGCCAACGTGTAACCAGTGCCCAAAAAGGGGATCGCTGAGGCCCGCGCAAACTATCGGCCAATAGCAGTCACCTCAGTAGTCCTAGAAAAGGTAGCCCGCTACCTAGAGGATAACTCTCTGATTAATAATCGTCAGTTTAGTTTTAGACAAAAAAGATCGACGGGTGATCTTCTGGCGTACTTGACTGGTATCTGGGGTGGGGCTATCGAAAAGCGTGGCGACTGGCGAGTCGTTGGCTATCAGCCTTGATACTGCCAAGGCGTTCGACAGGGTCTAGCATAAAAGCCTTCTCTCCAAGCTTCCGGCATACGGTCTGCCGGCCCAGTTCTGTGCCTGGGTAGCTGACTTCCTGCATGAGCGTAGAATTTGTGTCCTTACGGACGGTAGTAGTTCGCGGTTCCTGTTAGTTAATGCCGGCGTTCCTCAGGGCTCCATCCTATCCCCCACTCTCTTTCTGCTACATATCAATGACTTAATTCCTCTTGGATTCATTGCTATGCAGACGATAGTACAGTGCATGCGGGATATCTTGGACAAGCAGCGGCTGGATAGGCAGTAACCAAGGAGAAACAGGAGGATATTGTCATTGAGCAGTATAAATTATATCTTATATTTATTAGTTTTCTGGTGCTTCTAGTGATGAAAAACAGAAAAATGATTTTGAAGACGAATTTGAAGTGTTAGACAGAAAGATTCCACGACACTTCGAGAATATGTTGGTTTCAACTTAGGTTCATATTTTGTTTATCCTGATTTTTGTTACGTGCGATTTGAACTGGATAGGCAGTATGAAATAAAAAATAAATAATTTTTAAACGATAATTTATTGATTTAACCGCAAATATATTAGTTTATTTACAATAGGGACGTCAACAAAATGCAAACGGAGAGCCAGCTATTTGTATCTATTTAATCAGTATACTAACCGATTTATCCAAAACATACCAACTATTAAAACACGTGAAATTTATAAATAACACTTGCTTGGTACTTAATATTATCTAAATCGCGACTCAACGTTGTAAAAATAACTATGACGAAACGTCACACTAAGCTTCCCCATAAGCTTGCCAATTTCACTACACAATACGCATACAAAAAAAATATCTCTAAGAACAAACACTTAATTTTTCAACATAATACAAATACTGAATTTTCTAAAAGAACACTGAATATTGCTTTAAAAAACTACTTACACACTCGATTCTATTATACTATTTAAGTCAGGATAACTAAAGTGCTCATTATGACATACAATTTTAATGTTTTATATCACTTCAGTGCTGATGCGAACTGCATACATAAAATTATGTGCCATCTGAAAGAAAATATATTGAAGTACACGACCGACTGATGGGGGCTACACGTTTATAGAGGTGGCTAAATGCTCAGCAGATTATTATTTTTGTTCGAGCTGGAAATGTTTATAGCAGTAATGAAAAAGCTAAGAAGAAAATGTAAGGGATAGTTCACAGTGATTTATTTTGTTATATTATTAGCCACCTTATAGTGTCACATGATAAAAAAAAAATAGAAAATCACACATTATTATTTAATTTTTACAAACCAATCACATGTCTTATTGTACTTTTATACACCAATTATTTTACAATATTATTACTATCATACAGGTTCAGTCATTCACAGCGTTAAAATATTCACTGGTATAGCTCCAACTGGGTCATATAAGTAAAATACTTTTGTCACAATCAATGTATTCAAACAATGATGTAGATTAGAGCAAACATTATAGTGATAATTAACGTCTTTTGTGACAAATAATATTTTACATAATCATGGAGAGGTTCGAAACGATGTAGAAAAGAAACCTCTAACAAAGGCACATTTTGAAAGGCAATCACTGCCTTTAATTATACACACGTACGATAATTTCAATATCGTAATTATGCGAAATAAAAACAGATATATTAAAACATATGAAAGATTTGGCACAATTGTAGGAAATCAAATTAGCAAAGTAATTTATGTTTTATGTGAATTTATAAAATTAAAACCAGATTCACAATTTTATCTAGTGCCTTATAAAACAACGCAATGCACAAGGCACTGTTACAATTTAATTATAATGAGCGTATCCTGAATCTCTTTAAACCTATTATACACTATTAATTTATAATCGCCATAAAATGACAGTAGATTAAAGGGGACTACCAGAGTCCAAATAAAAAAAAGTTACTTATAATTACAACCATTCTGCGGTAAACGGCGTAATCTACATTATCGTATCATTAGGATAAGCGTATTGTAATTCAAACGTTCCTGTTGTGGGAGCTTAGAAAAAACGAGTATCAATAGTAAGTTACAAACGAATAGGAGCTTTAAAACTTAGTTTTGCTGTAAACGCATGTACCACGGTACATATTCCTATTACCGTTTCAATTTACTACTTATACATAAACGAGTCCAATATTAATATTAGCTAATAATTAATTTTTAAATGTTCGTATAACAAAACTGAAATGAGAAACATGAACTAAATCATTTATCAATTTAAAAGCTTACAAAGGACAACTCATACAAACTAAACGCAAGTGAGCGGCCACTCGAAGTTTCACTGGAGCGTTCAGTACCTTAGTGAAATCCAAATTATGTACAAAATTATGCGTCAATAGAAATGCAATCCCATATAACTAGTCAATAAGGTAATAGCGTGGAAGTAGTGGTGCCGGCGTTCACGAGTCTGCGGGAATGTCCCACTCGGCCAAGCCGCGCTCCACTAGCTCTCGATTTAGGAATATCACTTGCTGTAACAGAAACAAATAATGTGTTACTGGAGTTTACTAATGTTCAAATGATAAATAAATTATACAGATTTATTAAATTTATAAATTCGTTTTTAAGCGTTTATTCTTATTGTGAAAAAAACTTAGGCGTGACACTTCACTCGTTCTCTCGTTTAGTGACTTTCACAGTTTGCACTAAACAAAAAGAGAAAGTTACATGCCCCATGGTATGACACCTTCGATGCTCTGCCATCCGCAAAAAGGATTTTGTTCGTAAGCGTTGCCGGTGGCGTTTTCCTTAGCCCTTTTATATGCAATCATTAGAACTTCATTAATTTTGTAATAGGGACTAAAACAAGATAAATTTATGACGGTTAAAATGGGTTTATTAGAACTGTATGTATGTGGATGTATTGAGCCATGAGCAGATTGTACCGAATTTTTGAACCCATTAAATATTCCCTATGGACCTTGTAAAAAGTTTTAAAATAAAAATGGTGCCCTTGTTTAAGTTTTATTCATATTTATTTATGATTTACATCCTCACACTTGATACGACCTCAAATTTGACCCTTACGTTATTCGGCGCACTTTTGCCCAAGGTCTGTCTGAGATCTTTATATGCCGAGGTCGCTCTGCTCGCCGCAGCCGGAAACATAACGAGTTCCGAATGACGGCCGTTAAATGTGCCAATATAGAAACAGATAAATCTGTCTTAAAAGGCGTGGATTTTCAAAATACTCTTGATTTATAAAATAAAGACAATCAAATGTAATGTATAAAGATAGTTGTAGAATTCTTATCAAGACGCATTAAAACAAGTTTTATGATTACACAATGTCTCAAAGGAAATACACACATCAAAAGTGTCTAGGGATCAAGCATTTTTATGCGGATTTCTTGAGATTGAGATGTGGCTTTGTAATAAATTTATGATTTTATAAATTTATATGGATCCTTTTTGGTGCATTTCATAATTTGAATCAGGAACTGTGAATCAAATTCGAGTAAAAGATGAAAATCAGCTGTCAATATTTTCCCTATAAAAACATACAACGCATTGAAGACATTATTAGTGCTACTGTTTCCCTACTACTGATTAAAACCAACGTTATTATGGAGCGGCGACGTTATTTAAGCAGGGAAGAAATGCTCAGAGCCGTGGGAATGATAGAAGCTGGTTCCCGGCAACGTACTGTGGCTTTAGCTCTGAATACAAGTCAGAGTGTTATCAGTCGACTTTGGACACGATACCGAAGCACTGGTACCGTGGCTGAGCGCCATGGAGGACGGTATCGCTGCACCACACGGAGACAAGACCGATACATTCAAATCTTAACTCGAAGAGCTCCAACAATAACCGCCATGATGTTAGCCGTGAGGCTTCATCACTCTTCAGGGAACTTAATTAGCGACCAAACAGTCAGAAACCGCTTGCATGAAGTGAACCTTCATTCCCGAAGACCGCTACGGGTACCACCTATAGCAATGCACAATCGTAGGATTCGATATCAATGGGCTCTTGAACACAGAAATTGGGCAGAAGAACAATGGCGTTTCGTGTGCTTTTCTGATGAGTCTCGTTTTGGTATGAGACCGGATACAAGACGTATACGACACTGGAGAACCCCTGGACGCCAACAGCGATTAAAATCCTGCCAGGAAGTCCATCCTTATAGTGGTGGAACCATCATGGTATGGGCGGGTATTTGGATCGGCGGAAGAACTGAGTTGATTTGGATCAGAGGCAACCTCAACGCTCAAGTTTATGCTGAGACGATTGTATCAGACGTCATCGTTCCTCTACAAGTGCAAATCGGTCCCTTATTTCAGTTAATGCATGATAATGCACGACCGCACACCGCAAGAGTTGTAAGACAGACTCTCGCCGCAGCTAACATCAATGTCCTGCCCTGGCCTGCTCAGTCGCCAGACTTGAACCCGATTGAGCATGCATGGGATATGCTACAGAGAAGAGCTCTGCCGAATATGGAGGGTATCCAGTCGCAAGAAGACCTTTTTTTGTTGTTGCAACGAACATGGGCGGCCATTCCACAGCGTGATTTGGATGAACTCATTTTGAGTATGCCAAACCGATGTTCTTGTGTTGTTAGTGTTCGCGGTAGAAATACGGATTATTAATTGTTTAAGTTATTTCAGTCTTTTTTTCGAACTTTTGTGTTAGTGGTTCAAATGTCAAAAATCCCTTTATTAGGAAAATGGCAAATTTCTTTATTAATGCAAAGGTGACTTGGTTTATCGTTACTGTGACAAACGAAAACACTTTATTTGATGAATCCTTAAAGAAAATTTTAATTAATATCAATCAGGAGAAAAGTTATTGCAAAAATATATGTTGATCCCTAGACACTTTTGATGTGTGTATTTTAATTTGATAGATCTTGTGTTTTCTTACTAATTCATATCAGAAGTAGATAAAATTTGTTTACTTATTTAATTTCTTCACTTAATTAACTTTGTTTTATCCCTAACAATACAAAATACAGGTCATTTGTGTTTTAATAATCTTTTTGTGTTGTTTAAATGAAGGAAAATATAATCTCTTAATCTTAAAAATCCTCATATACTTAATCTTATCAATAAGTATATCATCTTGTGTTTATATTTCTATAGGAAATTTAAAACTTACTTAGTAGATACTGATATATCGATTGGAAATTGTATTATTGATTAGACAATAATCCTCAGTACTTGCCTACCTGTATAATGCTGATAAGGAAATTTATATTTAGCACACAAAGGATAACAGCTGTTTCTGTCTGCCTATTTCATTGAACCTTATTGGCATTACTGAGATCTCTTCATATATAAATTGTATTAGCAAGATTAGATAATATAACTGCATATCTGTATTAATTTATTACTCAGTCTGCAGAACATTAGAGTTATCATGAATCGTAAATATATGAAAAGTAGTCATTGTAGATTACCAGATTTAGTATTAGTCGATTTAAAGTTGGAGGAAAATAATTCTTACAGGTTTCCAGACTATCACTTACAATTTAGGAGATGCTTTGTCCTTTAATTTAATAGACTTTAACAATCTGCTTGGGGAAATTCAGCTTACATTTTCGTTTTCTACCAGTCAAACACACAATAATTAATATAATTTTACTCATTTTAATGAATGTTGCATATCATTTTTGGTAATAAGTGTTTGATAAAATGGTTCTCTCTCTCATATACGTGTATTATGCAGAATATACATCGTCATACAAATGTATGAAAGCCAATGGCGTGGCAGCAGGGTTAAGACAGGTACGTCATTAAGGGTATAATGGATCTCCCGCTCGAATTAGAGGGCCCGTCAGCGGTAGATCCTATTTACCATACAGTAATTTCAATGTGGACTTCTGGCAGTGTTATTAATAAAAGTAGTTATTTAGTATTATTAACACTTCCTGTAAAATTCCAGGGAGCTACAGGGGATTGGGTTAAGGCCGTACTTTTGTATACGGCAAAAGCTGTCTTGCAACTGAACTTTGGTGAAGTTAACATCAGATGGAGTGGTGTGCCATACTTAAAAAACACCAGTCCAGCTTGTAACGAAATACAACATTGTGTGGAGTGAAAAGAGGAAAACCTGTTCTTACTTAATTTGTATTGTACACATTACAATACTAAAGTCAAGTATGTGAAGAGGTCTACAATTACTTGTGTGACGTAAGACATTCTGTACCTCTCGCACATGCTGTCCTAACATGCGAAAGAGACAGAATGTCTTGCGTCGGCATTTTCGATTCCTTTCTTTAATGGTACGAGTTAGAGGAACTATCATTATGCAGGTACTAGGGACCATTCGCCTAACGGAATTGCTATGGCTACCACCAAATGTTTTCAAATGCCTCGCACTCTTTTATTTAAATATTCTTATTACCAATGCAAAGACAAAAACAAGAGCGCCAAGCATTTGAAAACTTTCGACGGTCAGAAATAAAAACAATAACGATAGCCATAGCAACCCCTTTAGGCGATCGGACTCCTGGTTAGTCTGTAGCTTTGTATAATATTGGGTGTCAAATTAACTAATGACCTGACTGATGGCAAGGACGACAATAGCCAAGAGATATGTCACTACCATGATCCTTTTCTCTACCCTATGGATCCCTCCATTCTAATGTTCCTGTAGTTTTTTACCAATTCATATCACAATTAGGCAAAACATTTACTACAAGTTCTATATAGTATTAGTTCTAGTATTAGTTTTATTATACCTCTATTTACATTAAAACTGATAATAATATACAGCAGTTACTTTTGAACATTTAATTGTTTGGATTTTTTTGTAGGAACGAATAAAACTTAAGTCTCCTGATAGTCCTAAGGGGACAAACCACAGAACACAGAAAGAGGTTAGAATGGCCTTGTGGGCGGGGCAGGCGCGTCACAGTTATGAGCAAATGCTCATAACTTGACCGTAACGTCCGATCGCGTCGTTTAGTTGCTCGCGAACGCTCAGTGAGAGAGTATTTTAATTACCGCTTAAAACATGCCTTCGTGTGCTGTAATTACTTGCAAAGTAAGGAGTCAATCATCAAATCTACCTAAAGCAGGAATTTCTTTTCATCGGTAAGTATAAAACTTCTTAGACTGATATTATAGCAAAAAATCGAGAAATATTAATTAAACGATAAATCACATATATATTTCCACAAAAATATTCATTGCTGACAAAGTACGCTCGCTATTTTTTCTACGACATTCAAAACACGAAATGTAGTACGATCAAGCAAGAATGACGCGTGGATCACGGAGCGCTGCACGTGGCCGCACGCAGTACAAGGTCATTGTACCTACTTTAGTGGTGTCTTGCGTCGTACATTTTACATTTTCGATAGATTTTATCGACTGAATTTTTGCACCTAATAATGGAATTAAAGTAACTTTTAGAAATAAATAAAATCTGATTGTAAATGTTTATCTTAACTAAACTTTTTTTATATTTTTAGACTAAAATTTCTTTTACGAAATTTTTCAAATTATCTGCATGTTGTCGTATT